AAGGCCAGCTCCAAACAGGCTGAAAGGGGCACTCGGGAGCTGCATGGTGGTAAGTGGCAGCTGGCACAGCACCACATGAGAGTGCCAGCAGGCCCGGGAATCGTTCCCGAATGTTGCAGCTGTGTCCTGAGTACTTCGTATCAGGCACGACCCAAGGTAGAGTCAGCTGCCAGAGCTGGAAGGGAAGGAGCCCGGGGCGCATTCAGCACACGACACCTGTCCAAGGCCAGGAAGTGTTCCCAGTGTTCTGCCCACAAAAGGACCACTGGCTCTTGCATCCAACAAACCATCACCTGTACCTAGAAGGTGCTCGGTCATGCCTCCACCAACCTGAACGCACCTCTCCATCTGCTGAGGAGCTTACAGCTGAGGGAGGGCAGAGGTGGGGACAACGGGCAAAAATGAGTGAGCGACGCATGGGTGGAGACAAGACGTTAAAGAGCAGACAGGGACAACTGATTTAGGCTGGAAGGTGAGGACGGCCCTCAGGGGGACAAGCAGGATCAGCAGCAAAGCAGACGGCACAGAGGGCAGAGGCCGGAGCACGGGCAAAGGGCAGGAAGCTGGAAGCAGAGCTCTTTCTGGAAAGCGAGGGGCTGCGATGTGAACCCTCAGGGGAGAATGCTGTGCACAAGAGGCTGGAAAGACAGGCTAGAGTGTGGAGAGGGCCTTGTGTCCACCTCAAGGAGCTCTGTCCAGGCTCAAGCAGCAGCGCCTCCATTAGGAAGCCCACGAGTCTCAGCTGGAGCTGAGGAACAAAATGTATTCTCTGCAACAAAGCCACAGCTCTGGTCTGCGCCTGTGTGAGCTCCAGGATGTGTGTGTGCGTGTTAGATGTGGTAACTCACAACCAGCAGAGGCAGCTGTGATCAGCAACAGAGATACTAGAATTCGCAGGACTGCGCTTCTGCACTAAGCTCCACGCCTCCTTGAACAATCATGACTCCTAGCTGTCATTATCCTTGGAGAAAATCACCCTAAAACACAGTGGAGCTACTTGAAAGGCTGCAAAATCAGCTATCATATCCATATTTTTTTTCTTCTGAGCGAGAAACAACACTTAAACTCCCCCAAAATGTCCACAGATGATTAAACACAAAATTTTCTTGAAAAAAAAGAAGATGCTTTTCTACTTAGATCAACGAAGTATTTGGAAATCTGAGAAAACAACTGTAGGGTCAATTAAGATAGAGTATGCCAGGTACGAGGCCATACAACAAAACTGATGGAAATGCAATCATTTTTACATTTTCAGAAGTGGGCTTTCAGTTAAGCTCAGCCTTTTATTTTAAAAAATTTAATCATTCACAATAAATGCCAAAAGACAATCTCTGAGGACTAAAAATACAGATCATGTCTTACTTTACTGTCTGGTAAACAGCAGCCACCCAATGTGCAGCTAAACACAGAGGCATCATGTCTCAGCCACACACCACTTCACTTCAAGCAACAGTCCGTACAACCAAATTCTAATCTAAATATAGACCCTTGGAGTTTGTCGTGATAGGATCTCAACTGCAGAGTGTGTGATGGTGTGACTCTCTTGCACACAGATGGAAGACGCCGCTAGTCGATGACCCCAGGAGGCACCTGTTCATTGGGAAGATTAGCGTCTGTCTCTGCAGCACCTCTTTAACTGGGGCTTGTCATGCCAGACCCACGTGCAGGTGGGAAAGAAGCTCACCACTCATTTCAATTCAACTCAAATATTCTGAGGGTTACGGAGGAAACGTCATTCTTAGCTACATCAACGTACAGCACAGTTGGAGCGAGACATACATTAACATCAAAGGCTATAAAATGGAACGTCCTGGAACAGAAGTGTTGGCCATAAATCTGCAAGTTGGTAAAATTCGGAAAACTAATTCATCCCATCAAATACTAAGAAATGATAAAAAGCTCAAGAGGAAAGAACTATTTATTGGGAAAAACAAGAAATGTTTGGAGACTAGGGTTAGAGCGCTACTGTAATATCAGAGTTAGGCCACGAAAGGCTTATTTGGAATTCTACAGTTGCTAGGATTACACTCCCCAAAGTATTATATATAAGTTATATAATAAATATCTTTAGACATTCACAAAATTACGTACCAGGTCTTATGTGTGTGCATTTATGTTCCTGGGGAGAGGGTCAGAGCTCTCACCAGATTCTCAGAGAACTGTCCAGAGATTCTGGGGTCCAGGACTGGGGGGAGGGCAGTACAAGACACAAGGTAAATTGCACCAGAAGTCTGTTTGCTGGCCCCGCATCCTCATAGGTGGGAGGGAAGTTAAAATGAAATCAAGGCTCAGGATGATGGCGGTGTGCCCAGCCTGCAACAGGAGCAGAAGCCCCATCAAAGAAAGAGAAATGTGATGATTTCTCAGAGTCACACATTTGGAAAATATTAACAGGTAATTGAGAGATCTGATAGCCTAAAAAGGATCGAGGTGAGGTAAAAGATTACAAACGTGGCCAGCTGAAAAAGCAAGGCAAGTGTCTTCTTCAGAAAACAAAAATTGTACAAGGCAGGGAATGGTCGTGACAGAGCTCTGCACTGAACACGCATGCACGCGGTCATGGTCAACGCTGACCAGTGATGCAACCAAAACCTGTGATGTGGCTGGATGAGGAGGAAGAGGGCAGTGGAGAACACAGGGAGGAGAACGAAGGTTAAATCCTATTCCACAACAGCTCAAAAGATACCTCAAACCGATCACCAAAAAATTAGTGATGCAGACATACTATTTTACAGTACGGTGGGTAAATATCAGGAGAAACAAGGAAAAGAGTTGCTGGTGCTAACTGCCGAGGTGGAAGAGGAGGAGGCCCAGAGAAGGCAGAGCACCACTGAGAATGACAGTCACCACTGCCCAGACTTTTCGTGACGGGCATGTGATGTGGTGTCAAAAACAAAAGTCGTATTTTCAAAATAGACGAATAATGATGGCGGTCTTGAAAGAAAGAGGAAGGCGGTCATCAAGGGGCAACTTTCAACCTGAGGACGGTGCGCAGGCTCGGAGCTACCTTGTTCCTCTTGCTTCTCAGCCAGCAGGTGAGTTGTGTGTTTGATGTGAGATTTTACAGGCGCCTGGAAATCGAGCCTGACTTGCCAAAGATGCAACTCCCTATGCGAGGAAGGGCGGCAGGGGCCGGGCGCGAGCAGCGCAGGCAGGGACAAAGCGACCCGGGGTGGCCGGGCTGTGGGAAGCTACTGCCGGGGAAGCAAATGTGCTTCCACAGAGCAGCTGCTCAGGACCGGGCCCCTCGCCTGCTGGAGACTCTCCTCGGGTCCTGGGAGACCCAACCCCACATTACAACATGATCTGGAGCACCTCTAACACCAGTGGAAACTAGAGAGCTACGATGCCATGAGGGGCCCCCCAGGAAACGAACAACTCCCTCATCTAACACCCGTTCATCGCACCCTCGTGCCCAGGCCAGCGGCAGCCCGGGACCTGGCCCTCTCCCGCCTGATTTACTCCCACCAGCACAGCAAGCTCATAACCAATCAGATGCCTTTTCCCTGTGTTTTTTCTCTCCTGGAATGTTTTCTTTCTCATGTCACTGCATACAACGCCCAAACAACCCAAGATTCAGGTTAAATTCACTTCCAACATGGGGATCTGAAACAGTCCAGCCTCAGCCACTGTCTTCTCCTCTTAATTATGCTGCGCAATTGTAGCACAGTAAGTTTTGAAATAAAAACAACACAGTTAGATACATCCATATTCTTTATCGATAATATGAAGCCGTAACACTGGACACGGCAGTAATCACAGCACAGCGCTCTCAACTCAGACTCAGAATCACTCCCCGGAAGCACTTACCTAACTGGCTCTTCAATTAAACTATATGCCATCTTGTACTATTAACTGTCTTGTGTACATTTACCTTCCTCCTCTCCAAAAAGCTTCTAAAGGAGACCTACACTTCCATATTCCTTTCTCAGCACTGCTTCTTAGACAGAGGTGGGTCCAAATTTGCGCTCTACCATTTTTGCTGGATGGCCGTGGTCAAATTCTGGAGGCACTGTGGTGGCGGACAGTCAAACACAAACTCTGACATTAGACCCGGGTTCAAGTTCCAGCTCTGTGTTTTATGAACCCTGGGGTCCTGGGTAAGTCAGTAAATCTGCCTGAACCTCAGCTTCCACACCTGAAAGTGGAGACTGTCACAGAGATCCTCAGAAGACTGCTGCAAGGATTTAAGCGCGGTTACCCCCCACCCCGGCCAGTGCACCGAGTACAGGCTGAGCACCGGGGCACTCAATAAAAAGCAGCAATTCTCCAACTCCAGCAAGATAATTAAAGCAGGAATATTTTGCCCAACTAGTTCAACTGCACCTTCCGTAAGAAGCAGCACCAGTTAACATTCAGCTCACAAATGTATTCACGTGGGTTAGAAAAGGCATTCTTTTTCCCTCCTCAGCTCTGGTGGCTGCAGAAGGTGTGAGAGGCTAACATTTGAGCTGCTTGGAGCCACACACGTTGAAGCAAGCAGATGGCTGACAGAAGCCGAGGGAAGGTCACTGAAATAACCACGTACTTGACACGGACCCTCTCCTTCTCTCTCTCTCTCAGGAATCCTGAAAACAGTTCAGGTCTTGACGATGAAGGATATGTCATAAGGTCCTGCTGAGGAACCATGAGTCCTTCGACCTCAAAGGCTGGGAGTGGAACCCAACATTCACCTCCCCAGCTGATTTCCCAGCCATCCCTCCGTCCTTACCCCTGCCTCCTCCTTCACCAAACTTAACAAAAGTAACTGAATGATGAGAAAGGAGACAAAAAGGACATTGTTTTTACTGCAGGCTAAAAGTCTGCCAGAGGCGTGGGCACCCCTTACGCAGTTACAATTCTGAAGTCCAGAGTGCATTTGGTTGAAACCTCACGTCCGTTCATTCAGTCTCCACCGCAGGACACCTGAATGCCCAGCAGAGGTCAGCTGTGGTCCCAGGTGCTGGGGAGGCAGGGATGAAGATGAAGACTGAGGCTGGAGGAGGATGCTCACCCCAGGAGAGGGGGAGCACCTGTGAACTGTTCTGAAAGACTAAGGCACACGTGCAAAGGGGTGGGTGGTTTGATTTAGCTGGAAAGCCGGGCATGTGAAGCAGGATTACAAGGGATGAGCCTGGAACGAGAGACAAGATCCCAACTGGCCTTGAAAGCAACGCCAGGAAGGGGGACGTCCTTCGACAACTGGTGGTCTTCCCACGTGAGGGGGTAAAGTTCAGATGTGAGAGGCTCCCGTGGGCATACACAGGTTTGTTTTCACAAGATCAACTGCCCTTCTCTCCCTCCAAAGCATGGAAAAAATAAAGAAAAATACCACTATAAATGGAGACTTCTTTCCTTTTGCTTTTTAGCTCCTTTGAGGGCAGTGGGTGGGAAGCAAGGGGCACGGTGTTCATGAAAGCTCAACAGCTCGTGTGCTGCCCCCCCCTGCACTGCTGGTGACACATCAGACAGTCCCTCAGAGCTGCCTCACAAGTAAGATGGACTCGGCAGGGTAAGTTACCACCCCACTCCCCCCTCTGGCTTCAAGAAAATATTACAAGCAAGCAGCTGAGTCTGACGTTGCCGCAGGGATGATCCTAAGTCTGTTCTTATTTATTCAAAGGAGGAAAAAAAAGCAAACCACAGGCAAACTTACATTTTAAATAAGTCACAAACGACTGTCTCATGGCAAAGTGGAGTGACAGCACAGCTGAGAAACGCTGCAGTAATCAACAGCAGAAGCCCCGGAGATGTTTAAATGCAGGGATGACAAAAACGGATTTATGTTTTAGATCAATCTGGCAGCAACCGAGAGAGAAAACCAGAGAGAAAGTCAAGCTCGAGACGGGAGGCTAAAAGCCTCTTCCCAACAGCTTTAAGGATGACCCCTCAGTTACAGGCGTGGGTGACGGAGTGGACACTGCGGCCAGTCGCCAGAATCTAAGAAAAGCAGCAGATACGGAAGGAATGGAGTGAGCCCTGCAGCGCTCTCTGGGGATGACCGCTGGACGGCTGAGGGCGTGGGCGCGAAGCCGAGCTGGTCCACATCATCTAAGCTATTTCCTTCAACTGAGATAAGAGAGAGGAAGACATGACTTATTACATACCGTCCGTTCACATCATCTACAAATGTCGGTCACACTGTGCTCCCTCCCAGCACTGAGGACATCGCCCTGACTGACGCTTTAAGCAGAGAGCTGATGTGCTGGTGAGGAGCCTGATGGACAGAATTTATCTTCTACGGTGAAGTACGGAGCTTCTGGACCAGTGTCCATTCACAACAGTGTGCCGCACAAATACTGCAATTTTCTCTGTCGCCACGCTGACAAGACGGGTGCCCCGGGGAAGTGGCCGGGAGCGTGGGCCGGGTCCACCGCTTCCCAACTCCGAGGCCTTGGGCCAGTCGCTTACCTCTTCAAGCCTCATCTTGCTCTCCTGTAAGTGGGGACGATACCAGTCTCTCTCACAAGGTTAATGAGGTGAATAAGCCCAAGTCCATGGCAGGCACAAAGGCTCAACAACTCTTAACTTTATATTCCACACAGTTGTGAAAGGATGAGATGGCTTGCAGTATTGAGCATAATGCGAAATAAGACAACTAAATGTTAAAATGCCCCAGGAGTAAGGCAAAATGGAAATTCACTGGGTTAGCAAGTTTTTATTTCTATATATAGACGGATGGATAGATACATACATATGTAGACAGAGAGGTATAGAGAGAGCGGGAAAGAGGTTAGGAGGAGACGGAGGGGTGTGTTACTTTTTCTGGTAGTAAAACTAAAATTGGACTTTACAGAATGGATCTTTGTATAAAAGATAGTCTATTATCTTAGCCTATAAGAGCTTTAGCTACTGTTTTTCAACACATTACCACATACTTTGTAGGCAAATTATGCTCACTGATTTCCACTACAACTGTTAAATATAAATATAAGCCTGATTTAGACCTGTTGGGAAAATAATAGATGTGGGAGAATAAAAACTTTCTTTATTCTTTATTTCAGGAAAAAGATAACCTTAAAAAGAGCCAAAAGATTTGATACAGCTCTACCCAGGTCCTAAGTAGGGTTATTAAATTCTCTGGGACGGTTCAAATAGTTGTCCTACCAATGCCTAGAAGACGTGGCTTAAATTTCCACGCAGGCAGAGGTCTGTGAGCTACGAGGGCCAAGTCTGGCCTGCCGCCTGTTTTTTGTTTTGCCTGAGATCTAAGAATGGTTTTTACATTTTTTTTAAATGGTTTAAAAGAAAAATGTTTTGTGGTATGTGAGAATTACATAAAATTCAAATTTCAGCATCCATAAATAAAGTTTTGTTGGAACACAGCCACACTTGCTTGTTTACGTATTGTTTACAGCTGCTCTCACACTACAACAGCAGGATTGAATAGTTATGACAGAGACCATATGACCTGCAAAGCTGAAAATATTTACTATCTGGCTCTTATAGATCTGCCTGTGCAAAGGAAAAGCATTATCCTGAATTCTGATGTTAGAAGATGCGATGTCAGATGTGGAAGGATCCCCAATCCCGTCATTCGGAGGCACTGAAGTCTTCCAAAGTCCATTTAAATTAATCCCAAGTAGCCAAAATATTTATTTTCTCTTCTTCAACCATTTGTTACACCTCTAAATAGTCTACAATGTATCCTGCTGAACACAGGCAGTGTTTACATTAAATGCTTGTCTTAAACTGGTCACACACCTCTGCCTATTAGATGTGAGCTTCCTTTACTCAGGCCAAACAGAAAAGGGGAGGCGGGTGAATCATGAACCTCCACGATTAACTGAAATACCCATCTGGGCATCTGGGATGGGATCATCACAAGCAGCAAATCTGGGCTGATCCTCAGGCATTTCGAATAACTGTCCCCTAGCTTTATATAAGGACTGTACACATAAGGAAACATACCTGTAACCATGCATTTTTTATTCTAAGGCACACATTTTTGTACATTTTAACATCTGACTTTAAGCTGTGCCAAGTAACTGACAGCACCTTCCGATAAGAGGTACCTAAAATAATGGTGCGATTTACAACCAACGGCATCTTGTATTCAGTGAATTCAACATACCAGGAGAGTCAGAGAGAACATGCACAAATTTGGAGGACTCTAGTGAGAAACTTTCCCCTGCCTATGAAAGGAGTAATTTCCAAAGACAAATAAGATAGAAAGTGATTTTATTCTCAATTCACTGCAAAACTATGATAAATTGTCCTCACTTGATATTACAGGAGGAAGTCATTTTATCCCATAATTCTCAGCAGAGAAACTACTCAAATTCTTTCATAGATTACATTCATAATATAGAGGCCATACTTCAAATCTTTCAAATGGGGTCAAAAAATTCTCACTGGTAAAATATTTTGGCAGGAAACACCAAAATGGTGCAGTAGCCCAAACTGAAAGTTAAACTGGTCCTGAGCACTTAAATATCTAATGTCCAAATAACTATATTTAAAGTAATTATATCTAAATACATAGATATATAACTTTATTGAAACAAATATATCTAAAAAGCTATATTTTTATCTAAAATAAAAATATCTAACTATTGAGGAAGTAGAGGGAATGAACTGTGACCTATCACCATGGTAACCCTATCACGGGCATCCCAGGGTAACCCCATCTCAGCTGCTTCCTCTCCGAGTCTCCAGCCACCTACTACGCACGTCTCCTCCTGGGTTCTGCACCAGTCCTTCCAGGGTCTGCCAACCAGCTGTGCTCAGCTGCTGCCAGGGCACTCTGGCTGGAGGGACCGCTCAGAACCTCAGAGCTCATATTCCCATTTTACCAGCTCTCCCTTCCCCACACACTTCCCTCCAATTAATGGAAAGGGAGAAATATCTTCCACTTTGATCTCTAGTATTCAACAAATCAATTGCTTAATTTTCTATTACAATCTAATCTGTGTCTATAAGCTTTGTTTCTTCAGAGCCGTTAACTGTATTACAAACTTTTCTATTCTGCTTTTTAAAACATTGTAAGGCTTTCTTCTGCTGTTACACTGCTTCTATTAATTTTTGTGGCAATAAGGACATTTTATCAAGTAGATATACCCTTATTTAATCAAACTGGTCCCCAATTATTAGACAATAAGATTGGATACTTTGCTATTAAAAACAAGGCTGCATGAGTATCTTACACATTTTTTAAAAAAACTACCTTCCTTAAGATACATTCGCAGAAACCTTTCTTAGACTGTTAAAAATATAAAATTTAACATCTCCTTTGTCCCTAGAGTAAATCAACATGATTCTATCTTGGACAAGCGTCATAAACTAAGAAATAAGCTCTGAGCGTGTTTTAAAGTACAACGCACTGAAAACAGAGGGCGACTTGATCCTTGGTTCACTGCAAAGCTGTGTAAATTCTTCTCACTTGCTACTATAGGAGGATTACAATTTAGCAACTGATTAATATCCTTTCTGCCAGGTTCACAATGAAAACTGGGTTTATTTGAGCTGTTCCTCCATAACTTGAAGGTCTCAAATATCTGTGTGTTGATTTGACTGTTCCAGATGTTCTCTGGGTGAAATAACTGGAAAGTTATATGGGTCAGAGATCATTTCCAGATTAGGGTATTTTTTCAAATGCTATTATTTTGTTGAAGGAAGGAAAGAAATAGGAGCTGAGTTAATGTCATGCACTGTCAGCTCGAACCATGGAACCCACATTAAAGCAGGAGAAAAGCTTTCCAGAGGAAACCCCAGCAGGCATCCAATCCACTCCTAACCACGATGCTTTTTTATTAAAACCAACAGGCAATCTGTCTGAAGCGGTGTGGGCATATAAAGATAGTAGGAAAATGCATGGGGCTGAGTTATAGGAAGCAGGGCTGTTTAGTACAACTTTCAAGTAAGGCAGCTGCCTTGGTGTCACCAAGATTACTTTTACCTACTCCCACCTCTTTCTTTAAGCCATTCTCCCATTCCCTTCACTCGCTAAAAAGCAAAAATGAGCAAACAAATAAAAAAAAATCCCACTGTTTTGAAAGTTTGTGACTTTACTTGAGAAGAATCACCTAAATGAAAAGTTTTCCTGCTTCACCCCTCCTCCCGGTCAGACCCCCACCAGCACCAGCGGGAGAACACACGGTCCTGGCTGCCGTCCACACAGAGGACCGCCTGGGAGGAAGGTGGCAGGGAAAGAGCAGCCCGGAGCCAGGCGGCAGAGGTCGTGATCCCCCTCCTGCCACCCACCAGCTGTGGGATCTTGGGAGGTTACCCACTTGGTGCCTCCATCGCCTCTTCTTTATTGAAGGAATCTACTTCAAGCACTCTCGTGAGACTGACTTCATATTCGCAAAACACTTGGCACAGAGCCTGGCAGATGGCAACCACCACCTAGAGTCTGGGGGGAAACCCACAACAAAGACGCTACAAAGCAGGAGAGAGAGCAGCAGAGAAGAGCAGAGTGTCTCTGGAATTCTCAGCCGGATGACACTTGTGGGAACACTGCTGAGAGGAGGGCTGGACCAGCTACCTCTCAAGGTCTGGCCCCACCCTTCAGGTAAGTGATCTGACGTTTTAAGTTACAGTCACAGACAAGAGACATCCTGGAGAATCATGCTCACGTCACACCCCTCTCACTATCACTGCTACGTGACATCACTGCTACGGCTCTCTCTGCCCCTCCTCCCAGCCTCACTCCCTCTGCCACTGCCCTGCATCCGAACTGCATCTCCATCGGCAAAGTGCTCTTGGCCATGGGAATGGTCTCCAGGCTGCTCTCTCTCTGTTTATTTGGGATTTTACCAAGTCTATATCAACCTCTCACATTTTTAAAATTCAAAAGGAAAATAAAAGCTTAGAGAAATCATACAAATAACAAATTTTGGGGAAAACAGATCCCAAAATTGAGATATTACAAATAATATCTCCCTTTTGTATTCTAGTGTTAGTAGTTCAGAAGCTTCGGAAGCCAATACATTGCCGGATGGAGTCTCAAACCCTCTTGAAGTCCTGGTATTGGAGAACCTTCCTCCCCCCACCCACCTCCTTACTGCCTCCTGGACCCCTGGCTCACACCAGCAGATGACAGTGGTGAGAGGTTTGTTTTGTCTGTGGGGTATGTTTAATGTACATGAATCTGAAATGCCCAGGACTGAAGGGGATCTTAAGAGCCAGCCTGGTAACCAGCCTTTAAATGAAGTCCTTTCAGAAAGCCAGTTATGACTTTTCTGAAAAGTCCGCAAGATGATGCCTGATTGTTGACAATCTAGTTTCTCAGGGATGAAGGAACTTCTGAAGTCTAACTCCAAATCTCTCCTGCTGTCAGTTTAGTTCATTCCCTCCCCTTTCGTTCAGGGTGTGAATAAACACAGCTCCTATGAACTAGTCAAGAACTTGTTTCTAACCACGTTCAACCTATACCGAGGAAGCATCCACCTCATTTTTAAAAGCAACGGGAAGGGGGAAAATGGATTTTTTACGCACAATTTTTGAGTTGTTGAGACACTCTACTAAATCCATCCCCTCTTCTCCGTCAACTGATAATTTGTTCTGTGGCTTTTTAACAGCCCTCGGTCAGCCTTAATTAATCTCAGTCCCTCAGTGACAATCTACTGGGGAATGACTGCTGGGCAGAGAACATGGCCTTCACCGGGTCCCTGACTTTTGTCTTAACTGTGTTTTCAAGCAGTCAGGCTCCAAAGGCAGCCCCACACGGCAAAACACTTCTTGAAGTCAAAACAAGAAGCCTGTATACAATGTTAGCCAAGATTAGTACCCGCAGCGGGAGATGGCATCACAGACTCCGTGAAGTTTAGAATTTTCCTAATAGTTCGGAATTTTCCTACATTTGCCCAAGACTATGATTCTTTTATCTGGAATTAGAATTTCAGACACTGTTTTGGATAAATATTAATCTCACTGCTTTTAAAGTGCCCCAATTCCAAACGTACCAGGTTCCCTCCTCACAGACTTAACAAAACACTGGGTAAGACTCAGAGTCTTCACTGGTATTAGAAGAGTAAGAGTTTTTAAAATCTCAATTTGCATAAATTTGAATGTGAAAGAAATCTGTGTCTGTATTCCACAAGTTTAGTATTTTAATGTTCTTTTCTCTTAAGGCCAGATTTTGATGAAGGTAGGGGAGAGGATGTGGTACTATGGAGTATGTATCCAGAATGTAATCTCTGTAACAATGTTCCAAAGGGAAGGTTGCATCTCCCTAAGGTCCCTAACCTGTGCGGCAGTGACCTAACAGGACACTGTGGGATATTTTAAATTTTCAAGGGGAAAAAAGCACAAAACGTCTGTTAGATACTACACTAACTCCTACTCTGAAGTTGTCCGGAGTTGACTGAATGAAATGAAGAGCTAGGTATTTCTTTTGGCCTAAGAAAGGGCATCATGAAAAACGCAAGACCTTAAGGCATTATGAACTCAGAGCTTGTGGGACCTAGCTGTGTTTTTCTTTTCTTTTTAATTGAAGTACAGTCACTTTACAATGTTGTGTCAGTTTCTGGTGTACAGCGTAATAGTTCCGTCATACATATACATACATACATTCATTTTCATATTCTTTTTCATCATAGGTTATGGGACCTAACTGTCTTAAGGCATTTCTTTCAAAGGTTTTTGCTTTGGTTTAGTTAGGAAACTGGAGAGATTAACCCACAGAATGATCTCCGATACGTAATAACTCTTATCTGTTCTCCCTGAGTAGTACTTGGAAAAGTAGGTATCTGGCTAATAATGCGTACTGTTTTAGAAAAGAAAAAAGCAGCACATTTATTTTCTACCAATAAGAGCTCCAGTATCCTTCCAAAGAGGTCACCCTGAGACTCTTCGGCCTGGGAGAAAAGCCATCTGGCCTCATACTTGACAGGAAGCGAAAGACAACTTGTTATTATGTCCATGTGGATTCCCAATAAAGATGTGGACAAGAGAGAAACACACATTATCACACACCAGGAAGATCCTGAGACCTGGGAAAGTGGCAGGACTACACCCTTCCAACCCCATTCAGGGTCTCAGACTGAGGCTCCAGTATATTTGTGGTTTTGTTTTTTTAAGTTAGAAAGCTACCATGAACTCCTTTAGTACTAGTCAAAACAATCTTTAAATATACAGAACCCTGCTTTTAAAAAAATCTATTTTTCAACCCTAGAAATACAGATTATGGTCTCCACTGAAAGGAAGCAGGGCTCTGTGAAGAAACGGCTGATTCCAGGTCTGGGACGGGGCACGGACACGGTGAGCCCAGAACAATGTCGCAGACAGCAAGGAGACCAGCAGACTCCCGGGTGGGGCAGGAAGACTCGGACGCCAACCCGAAGAGGCTCCAACGGGCCAGAGGGGGCATGTTTTGAGCATTAATAAGGATATTAACTACAATGTCTTAGCTTTGCAGAGGAAGATTTTGTTTTGACCGTTAGAAAGTCTTACAGTGGATATGGAATAATAGGTGTTTTATTTAGGCTTACTAACAAAATTCATCAAAACAGCTGCACTTTAACAAAACAGCTGTAGCAAACATCCCAATTCTAATAATAGTCCTCTTTTCATTAGTTCATTTATTACTTTAAAAAAAAAAACCTCACGGGTCATCACCAGAGAAGATGGACCAACTTGGCATTCTGAAATTGATAAATAAGGAGAACAAAACCAAGTATTTATCCATTTCCAAGTACTGCTGGGCAACCAAACAGTACACAAGGGAAAGTTTCTCTTTTTAGAAATATTCCGGCTAATAAGTGAAAAAGAAATGACAGAATGTCATCATATTGCCATTCCTAGTGAAGCAATGATAGCAATGGTTGCTGAAATCCCAAAAGACAGAATCAACCAGACATTATCTACCTTCTGATGGAAGAACAAATCATCAACTGTAATGTTGCAAAAATAAAAAAGTGGGGAAAAAAGAGAATATGAGAATATGAACACAGGAAGCCTCTGGCTCCAACTATTAATTTACTGGGAATACGGAGAACTACATTACAGGTGTGCGATCAGTAAAGTCCAGGATGTGGGCCAAAGTAGTTTCTTCTTTAAAGTCTGAAAATACATATTGACCCACAAATCCTGTTTCAAATATACTGCTAGGAAGAGTAACAATAGCTGACTGAAATCTGAACACTTACTGGATATTTATGATATTAAGGAACTATTTTAGATATAATAAGGACTCTAGATGTTCCTGGAGAATGTCATTCTAAGTGAAGTAAGCCAGAAAGAGAAAGAAAAAAACCATATGAGATCGCTCATATGTGGAATCTAAAAAAAACAAATACGAAACAGAAACAGATTCATAGACATAGAATACAAACTTGTGGTTGCCAAGGGAGCAGGGGGTGGGAAGGGACAGACTGGGATCTCAAAACGTAGAACAGATGAGCAAGATTACACTGTAGGACAGCACAGGGAAATGTATACAAGATCTTACGGTAGCTCACAGCAAAAAAAAACCGTAACAATGAATATATGTATGTTCATGCATAAGTGAAAAATTGTGCTCTACACTGGAATTTGACACAACATTGTAAAATGACTATTACTCAATAAAAAAATGTTAAAAAAAAAAAGAGACAGAGAGAGAGAGAGAGAGAAATAGGACTCTAGAAAAATACCCGCAATACCATTTTTTAAAAATCCCATAAGAAAGCCGAGACTTCAGGCGGTGATCTACTCCTGTATTTGAAGTGGACCATCAGTGCGAGCCAGTTATGAGAAATGATAAATCTCCCTTCCCCAGGAATATCATTCTTTTTTTTTAAAGGGGGAAAAGAAAACAAAGTTCACCAGGGACTTTGAGAAAGCAGAAACATTATCAGTAACTCAGCTTGCTTGGCTTAAAAACGGCAAGTTGGTCAAGATGACTGAGAAGTTAATGACCAACAACCATCACCAAGCAATTCCCCAGGACCTCCTGTCAACACACCGGGAGACGATCACAGCGGGCACTAGTCCATGCTCCCAGATCCCAGTTGTAGTAAAACTACTGCCAAGCTGGAAGCCTTTCTGAAGAAAAGAGGACTATTATTAGAAGAGCTGGGTGGAGGGGAGAGTACAGCTCAGTGGTAGGGCGCATGCTTAGCATGCACAAGGTCCTGGGTTCAATCCCCAGTGCCTCCATCAAATAAATAAAGCTAATTATCTCCCTCCTCAAAAAAGAAAAAAAAAAGAGCTGGGATGTCCAGTTGATAAGCACGACTATCTTTGAGTGCACATTAGCCTAAATAAATCTTACCTGTTATTCCACACCTAATTTTGAATCTCTCAAAGAGGGGGAAATAAAAGCTTCCTCTAAAAAGCTAGCTGGATGCATTTTAGGGACTCACATTCTGGTTCTTAAATTCTCTAACCACCCCAATTTCTACAAATTTCGGAACATCCTTTGACTTGAGGCACATCTATACAACATGTACCTTTTTACCTTTCTGTCTTGTTACTATCAAAGACACACACGATCCGTTGGAAAGCACTGAAAAAACCACCACCAGAAGCACACCAAAACAAACGTGTGCTGTAAGGGCATTCTCTTCTCTGAGACACTTTCCAAAGATGGACGTTTTATTCAGTCCTACGCATTATAATATTTAGGACAAGATGCTGATGTGTTTCGCTTATTTAGCAACTTTACTTGTTCCTTAAGCTCAAAAATCTCAAACTTTTTCAATTTTTTGTTAGTTTAGCAGGACAATAAATGTACTCTGAGATATCTTTTTAAAGAAAAGGCAGAAAAATACTTATAGATAACTAAATACCCAGAAACTCAGAGAAGGAAAAAAAAATTTAAGCCAGTAATTTTATCAAAATTACAATAATTATGAACAGCTATTTCTTCAGAGAGTCTTACTGACCCAGGAGGGATTCTTTAAAGGGTCAGGCAGGACACATGTTTTCTGTGTCCGGCACGCAGGATGCTGCGAAGCCCTCACAGAGGCCCCCTTGGCACCTAGGTGTGCTGGGCTGTGTGCATCCGATCTGCTCACGTGCATCTGTTTGCTGAGGCCTCAGAAAAACTATTCACGTATAAAATGCTTTCCTCTCAGGTATCCCACCTGGTTCTCAGTGACACCAGCTTGCACCTGTGCATTTAATGTAAGTACGAAGTTGTTTTATTCCCATTTTATACACAGGGATGTCAAGTCAGAGACGGGTTAAATTACGTCTGTAAGCCCAGAGAGTGAGCAAGTCACCACAACTTAAAAAGGAAACCAAATAAAAACTCCGTTCCAGTTTAGAACTGACACACCACTTATATCTATCTTTTCCCCTGTCCGGTCCATCCTTTCCCTGCCAATCCTGTCCACCTGGATCCTCCCACATGTTCACGTCACCCATTACCATCCCTTCCATCAACCACCTCTTGAGCACTTACTTGTACCGAGTACCACGTCGGGCACCGTGATGGAGACACAGGAAGTTAGTGCCTAGTGGATGTAGACTTTTACCATGAGTCAGGCACAATAATTTACATAAAGCACAAATGATTTTGAGGACTCTTCCGGTGAAGGTATGTTTCCCAAAATCATATTTGATGGGTTTTGAAAATATAAGTATGAATAATTTAGTAGCAGAGCAGAGGTCATCTAAATTCTTTTACCAAGCTTTTCAAATGCAGGGCGTTTTAAAGACACAATAATCTACTCCATTCTTATCTTTCTACCTATAAAATTACATTTTTAAGCTTAATTTCACAAGTCTAGTGAGAGAGTATAGTCATACTACGTAGAACTGCTGCCTAGAATTATCTACTATGGTTTAATAATAATATACATAAATGTGGAGAGGTACATATGTTATCTATCCCTAATATTTTAAAAAATGAACCAGAAGTTGAACCATCTAAATTTCAATATCCTGTAAGGAAAACAAAACACACTTCATTCAACTATGAATCCTTCTGATTACTCAGGAGTTCATAAATGTTTCAACAACAGTAAAAAAGTAGCAAACATCTAGAAGTCATCACAGAGTGGATGCCTGGAGATCTCCTGGTTAAGTGACTTCACACCTACCGTAGTGTCATTGCTGGTAACATAAACCAGGACATCGGAGGAGTTCCTGCCATTGATGTATCGGTAGCAGTTCCAAACACAGCTAATCAAGTAACCCTGTAAGTAAGTAGTGATGATTAGATCTTTAATTTTCAAACTTTAGACAGTTTCAAATATCACCATGGATAAAGCCATATTACAAAACGTTTATTTACATCAATTATAAATGCACACATTAACGCTACTAAACCAAAAGCCTTTAAAATCACAAATGTTGGGTATGGCAACTTTCTGGCACAGGGTGATACTACAGCCTCATTCTATCACACCACGCAGTAGGTGGCGGGGAAGGGTGGGGCTGAAAACAGAACAATTTCCAAGAAGAGGCAGGTGAAAGGAGCAATCACCACAAGCATCTATTGCCCCCAAAGTCACAGAACAATCAACTTATTAACCCCGTTCTCATGACATTTTAACTCTGGATCTTTGGGATTTTTATTCTACATCATTATATGATTTTTAAAAAAAATAATTTTATTTCTTCCTGATTTAGATGCCTTTTACTTATTTTCATTACCTGATTGTTCTTGCTAGTAATTCCCGCACTGCTGAACCAAAGTGATAAGAGTGAGCATTCTTACCTTGTTTTTTTTTGGGGGGGGGGAGAGATATTTAGGTTTATTTATTTGTTTTGATGGCAGTACTGGGGATTGAACCCAGGACCTTGTGCATGTTAAGCATACACTCTACCACTGAGCTATATCCTCCCCCACCATATGATTTCATTATACAAGTCAACTTTTTAAGAAAAGGTTCATAGCACATAAATTCACTTCATGGTCAATAAAATTCACTAAAACATTTCTATTTTCATAATGAAATATCCAAGAAGACAATTAAAATTAATGTCCAGAATAAGGACACATTGGAAATAAAGCATGAGCTCATGGGAGATGTTTAAACTATGAACTCTTTGCACTTTCCTTCCAATCATGTGTAATTAGATTAGAACTAAATGATTTCAAACTCCTTTCTAGCTTAAAAATTCTTTAATTAAAAGAAGTTTAAAGATGTGGAGAAAGTGGAACCCTCCTACACTGCTGGTGGGGATGTAAGATGGTGTCAATCTGGAAAACAGTTTAGGAGTTCCTCAAAAAGTTAAACCGTTACCAAATGACCTGGCAACTCCACTCCAAAGTATACGACCAGGAGAAATGAAAACATACGACCACACAAAAACCTGTGCACAAATAGTCACATCAATATTATTCATAATAGTGAAAGAGTAGAAACAATCCAAATGTCGGTCAGCTTAGGAGTGGGGTATTCATTCAATGGAATATTATTCAACAACAGTAAAAGAAGTTCTGTTAAGTGCTACAGCATGGATGAACCTTGAGAACATTATGCAAAGTCAAAGAAGCCAGGCACCACATACTGTGTGATTCCATTTATCTGAAATGTCCAGAACAGGCAAATCCATAGAGACCGAGAGCAGATTAGTGGTTGCCGGGGGCAGGAGGTGGGGGTAAGGACTAGCATCGAGTGGTAAACACGTTCTATAAGTCCACCAACCACCAACGTGCTGAATTAGTACATCAAGTAATGCACACAATTAGTACCAATGTACTAAACGCCGCTGAATCGTTCACTTATTTAAATGGGGGAATTTTATGATATGTGAATTATATCTCAAGAAAGTTATTTTACAAAAAAGACATTTAGCAACAAAAGGGGGTGCCTGTCAACAGTTTTCAGGAGAGTGAGGTAAATGTTCCACTGTGTACTCAGAATGCTGTCTTCAGCTGCATTCATCCTTGGTGATGATTATTTCTGATATTTAAATTTTCTGTGATGACATCAAGATGGAAATGTACAATGTTATTTTGTAAAATGTTTTCTGAATGGCTATAATCTGAATCCAGAGATCCACAGTGAGACAGGGAGAGCTGGAGAGGGCATTTTTCTTGAACAATGTTACACAGTATGTTCAATTTACTCAATCTTCAGTTAACTCAATAATGCTACTACTTCTTTAGTTAAACAAACAAACAAACAAACAAACAAGAAAGGCCCTAGACTCATTGAGAATTTTAACACAAATAAAAAAGGAATGTTTGGACATACTCTGTTATGTACTCCGTATGAAGACTAACTAGTCATCCATTATTTCAGCAGTGAACAGGAAGTTCTTTAAGCAAGAACTCTTTCTGATGTGAGGCCTGTAAAATGACAAATCTGTAACTGAAGGGTGAACAGT